CCTTAGGTAAGAAATACAAAGGAAACTTCCTCTTGTCTTTTTTTCTTTTCCATTTGCTTGTTTATGGGTTTTTTTGCTGCCCCCTCTTCCTCCAGCAGGGACAAATCTCTTAAAATTAGCTACCCAGTTCCTCCCCAATATGGTTTTCAGCCTGTGGCAACCAGTGCATGAGTTTTTCAAGCTACCATAGAACAACAGCACCCTCAGCCAGCCATGAGCATCCACACGAGTTGCAAGACAACCAGAAACAAAGATTGCCAAATCACAAGATAAAGACAAGAAAGTAAGAAAATATTATTTCGTGTATGTCACTGCTGCTGGGAGGCATCGCATCCCTGAGAAGCTGCAAAGCTGTCATCTCCATGTTCTGGCCAGACAGACAGCTTCCCATCAAAATGAAGCAGGTTGACCTTTCTAGGGGAAGTTATAAAATTAGCAAAATTACCTGCCGATTTAGGAATCAAGCCTGGAACCTACCTTTCAGAAGGGTTATTGTGTAGCACCACCCCCTTGCCCCCTGGTTTTGGAACAAAGTGTCAGAGTGTGTTTTGACGAATCCTCCAGTGTTACAAACTTTTTCCATAACAGGCAAATATATTCCTTTGTTTGGGACATATAGCTCTCCAAGAAATTGAAACATCTCTGAACTGACACCACCAAACTCATCCAGTTAACATTTACACTTGTTTAGTTAGCAAAGGACATACATGCAGGACATACATGCAGGACATACATGCAGTTAAGGAAAGGAAAAGAAAAAAAAGACAAATTATTTGCTTACCATTAGTTACCATAGGCATCTTTATTACATTAAAGCTTTAACATTTGACAGAATATTGGGACAGGGAAGAGCAAAAGGGAGAATAACTTAATAATAAAAAGCAGCCTTGCTGGGAATTATGTTTATAAAAATGAACAGGAGCTTCCTGAAAGTGTTGAAGCATTTAAGTTATCTTCAGGACAACATGATGAATCCTGGTACTCCCATAGAAGTTTTCAGTGTTGTTGAACAGTCTTTCAAAGTGAACATCATGAGAAAACCAATCTTCTATTTCTCTACTCTTCTCTCCAGAACTGTGACTTTCAGAAAACATCTTACTGTGATTTCTCAGATCTTGCAGAAGTCAGGAAGGACAACTCCTCCTGTCAAAAGGCACACACCATTCCACAACTCAGCTTTGCACAGAAGGCTATAATTGTCAAAGACTACACCAAAATCCCAATGTTTAAATGATTATGTTTTAAGAAAAGGTAAGCTTCTCCTACTGATCACTTCTTGCTATTAAGCGTAACAATGCAGACAATCCGATTCAAGAATTTCCCAGTACACTGATTATTAGGAAGTGTGCTGTGGAAGCATTCCCCATATACTTGTCATGTTTATTATCCCCTCCCTAGCCACCTGCATCTGGCTAAGGGAAATCCAAGTAGCCTAACATGACCATTTTACCTTAGTATCCAAAAAAGTTTTAATTGATAAGCAGTAGTGGTAAATAAATAAAGAGATAGTTACTACATTATTGATCCCCAACTCCCACACTACTAGTGGTCACAATCTGAAAAACCTTAGCTGACCATAATTCAAAGAAAAATAGGAATATACATAAACCCAGCTGTCTTAGACAGCATTTTTATTCTAAATGGATAGAGACATAGCAGCATTTACAATAAAGAGTTTTTAAAGGCATCAAGTTGTAAGCCAACCATTTGAAAGAGGCTTTGAAACATTGTCTTCCACAGCACTTTTTGCCTGTTTGTCAGCGGAGGACAGTCTGACTGCAGATTACCCAAAGGACAAACAGCCACAGTAACTAATCTAAACTTCAAACCCTTTTCCTGAACAGTTGGTCACATCAAGCATCACCCTCTGTAGCAGCATCTGTAGCACTCTTCGGTGTTCTTTTAAGCGGCTGGTATACTTGATCCACTTCTTTAAAATATTTTAATGTTCAATAAAAATATTTCAAATAGAAAATTTCTTCTGTCATGAAAAAAAGTAAGGTTTCTTTTTCAGATTCTATAAAGGCTTATGAACTTCACTGACAGCATTTCCATAATGGAGCAGGAGTTAGAACCAGCAGAATAGGCACTTCAGCAACACTGTTAACTGTTTCTAAAGTCATATTGGCTTTGGTCCAGAAGACTGTTTCTTACTACTTTGTGGTGGTGTAAGGACACCAGTGGGGAAAGGTGAGGTCCTATTCTGCTCAGACAACATGGCTTTATTTGCTTGAGCTTTTTCCTGAAAGCATAGGAAAAGGAGATAAGGAAATATCTTTACTTTGGTATATCTATGCAACAGAGCAATGTAATTCAGTGGTTTATATTAATCTCTGTATCTAACCCCCCTAACAGCAACCAATAAATCATGTGTTACAAATTAGTTAGTGAATACAAGCTTCAAGAATTAGCATTAATTTTCCAAATCTAATGACCAGCATTATGGTACCTGTATCTTAAAGAAAGCAAAATTCAGAAGCAACTGAACAGGAAGAACTTTAACTTCTATTAAATAACTTCTAAATAATATGAATTTTAAAAAAAAAAAAACCCTCCAACATTAACTACCAATTTGCTGGACAAGATTTTGATCCTCTGCAAGTTTCTCATGCTAAAAACTACTCTTTCTGAACTTCTTGTCAACCGTCACTGTCATCAAACTGTCTCACAAGATCACTCTCAAGTGATCAGTCTTTATTTTCTTTTTCAGCAGACAAGGTTGCATGACCTGTATTTTCTATAGAGAAAGGTATAACATACAGTATTTGAAGTATTCCAAAGGGTAGAAATAAGCTTCTCATCTCTAGGGTAATTATTTGCTGTTTGTGATGAGAGACTTAAGTCACAATCATCTTTTTAAACTAAACACTGAACAAGTCAGTCCCAAGACAAGACTGTTCCAAGAATTTTGGAACTGGATTGCAACCTTGTGCCTTTTATCACCTGAATACACTCAGTATCCACGTGGTAATGCTTCACTTAAGTTTACTGTATGTTCTAACCAAAGAAGAAGCAATACTTGAAGTTTTCATGGGTAGATTGTCTTCATTATGCACATACATACCAGCAAATCCAAGCCATTTATGTGTGTCTGTATATTGTGCATGTCTTCAGGAGCTACACCTCTAAAGTGTTTGAGTTTGGAGCTTCCTACTTCCCTTATAGCCATTGCAAATGGAACCATCCATTTTACACATTCCTCTACCTCACACCATTCATAACCTGGAAGACAAAGGCATATGCTTATCTGCCTGAATGAGGACTTAATGTTTGCAAACACACTAGACTTAGCTTACAAATGCCAATACCTGTAACTTTCTGCATCAACTCAGATGAGGAGAAGTGATACAAAGCAGAAGCTGCAAGTACTCCATATGTATATTCCAAGCAGCCAATATCCAGCAGACAGAGATCCAAGAGCTACAAGACAACAGATGCTTAATAAGTCTATTAAAAAACACTTTCTTTCCAGGTGAAATAGCATTTGAAGGAAAAAAAAAAAAAAAAAAAAAAAAACGGAAAAGAAAAATCAGCCTTACCTCTGCTATTTGTACAAATATTTGCTGTGGATATTGTGGCAGCAATACCTCATAAAGCTTGTTTAAATATGCAATCTGCAGGTAAATGTTCAGCCATGATACAACCGTCAGCGGACTTAAGTTCCAATTGAGAGCCTGAAAGAGTAAGCATGCACAAGACTTTAGTATTAATAAAGAGGTCCTAACTTAACCCATGCAACTTTATTTACTCCAGATCAGAAGCTGTAATTCCAGTTAGTCAAGGCATCTTTGAAACACACAAATCTAATCCTCTCCTATACCTCTTCCTGCTGATAGGGTGGGGAACAATTAATTTTGTTAGCATGCACATACCGGTAAGATGCTTTAAATCACTTGTTACCTGGAGAACACTGTTTTCTAATTAGAAAGAGAAATTGTGCCTCTTAGCAGCACATAAGACAAACTGAGGCTCTCTGCTTTTAGTCTGATTATGCTATACATTTTTAAGAACTCAAGTAGAACTAATTCCACTTTGAAATACTACCTTCATAATGAGCAATTCCATACTGAGGATTTCATCTTCTGTACAAGCTCCATCTGTAACATAGGCAAACTGGTGCAACTTTGGTGGATAAATTTCCTGAAAGATAAGAGATCAAGTATTTAATTTGTGTAACACATTGTAATAAATCTCCATTTGTTTAAAAAAAAAAAAAAAAGGGGGGGGTGGAGGGGAGACAGAAGGAGAAAAAGGAAAAATAACACACCACTACCTCAGCATTTGAAAACAGAGGGAAAATTAAAAAAGAATCAAGCCCTCCATCCTAACTCATGGTTTTCTCCTCGGCCTTTAATGTCCACAGATTTCTTGTTCAACCTTCCTGCTCATAGACTTCATCTTTCACTTTTGATGGGCCAGTACAACATGCATTGTGTTTGACTACAGCATCACTGAGATGGCATCATAATTGACATCAAGATTTTTTCATATGTCTTAAGGCCACTTACCCCTTGCTGGAGAAGAACAGATTGAAGAGTAATAGCTCTCTTAAAAAACAAACAGCAAGAACTTAAAAAACACTATGTATTTTAAACAGTTCAATTTGTCCCAGTAACTAAAGAATAGCTCAGACCCATAGGTACTCCACTGACAACAGAACTGCAACAAGTGCTCTCTCTATGTAGTGGCCAGCTAAAAACTCATTTAGTAACTGCAACCAAAAAATTCAGATTTGTTTTAACACTGAAAAGACTATCCTTTTAAAATTAAAGATATACTATGGTGTTAGCTAGTCTTAATTTTAGACACTTCTTAGAAAAAACAGAGGAATTTAAAAGAGTATCTTTGTCTCCCAGCTGAAATGTCATAGCAAACTCCATAAAGCCTGCCAAAACCCATCTAGTGTATGCTAAGTGTGCTGTCTGCCCATTCACATTTTTATGTTTAAGTAAAGCTGGAGATACTTACCTCAAGCTTTGCTGCTATGAATAAAGAAGAGATACCAATAAGCTGCAATAGTGTTTTTACAACATCATGTTGTGTTGCCATAAACCGATCAAAGAAATCTTGTGCTAAATAAAAAGTTTCTCTGTGAAGCTTGTACACTTCACAAACCTGGAGAGACATCAGAGATTACAAAGGTCAAGAACAGTGTTGTAAAGTCAAAACCAGATGCTACAGATGTATTAAAAAACAAACCCAAAAGCTAAAATTCATATTGGCTTTCTGCTTCACTGCCATTGTGAAGGAATATGTTAACTAGGAGCATGAGTTAAACAGTTTCCTTTGACACGAGATGACTGCCACTACAATAACTCCCCCAAAAAAAGAGATCAGAGTGAATATCCTTTTAGGAAATGCAAGCACATGTCCTAACAATGTCAGAACATCAGTTCCTCATTTTTGCAAAGCTGCATCATTCCAACACCTCAAAAGAGAAAATTCTCACAAATCCTTTAGAATTAAGAACAGAGACTATGCTGCCAATTCATCTGAGCAGCAAAAAAAGAGACTCACATCAGACAGAAGAGTCGTAGTACATTCTACATGGCAAATAACAGAGAAGTTGTACAAGACATCTGATCTCCAAAATACCACACACCTTCCTTCTTGCAAGGACTATCATAATCACTTCTGCAGCTTTTATCTGCTGTGTGACCTTAAAAAGCTTACATCACTTTGGGGACAAGTTTATTGTTATTCACTATCAATCTACTAATGAGCAACAGCAAATATTGTCAGTTTGTACACCATCAACTCAATCCATTATATATACTTTTTTAAAGTTCACTGCCATTCATTGACAAACTTTAAGATGAAGATGAGTGTCTAGTGCTACATGGGTTATGCAAAGATCATTAAGTGTACTCATGACAGTTATTAGTACACTTCAACAAAAGCACACTTGAAATACAAGCACAGAAAAGCTTACCTCCATTAGCCAGTCTAGAAGGATTGCTCTCATTTTAGGTTGCAGGAGAGGGTGCCTCTGCATATAAAATTTATCCCTCACATACGTCTCCTCTTTTTTTATCATGTTTTTCCATACGTCGTCTCTGTTTGCCCAGCTAAGACAGATCAATATGTTTAGTCTCAAAGCATAAAAAAGGAAGGCAAACTAGCACCAGCAAAACATCACTTACCCAAGAACTGGTAATGGTGAAGCTCTAGCTCGAACAAGACTTAGGTGAGGAAACTGAGAGTAATCAACACCAACTGGATCATCATCTTTATCTGGAGTAGGAATCAGCATATGGGCATTTTTGGGATCACTATTCCAGGATGGCTGTTGAAGGAAACACAAGATTTTACACTATGCCTTTTAAAATAATAATTTTAGCAGTAAATAGAAGATATTGGCCACAAATTTATAACAAGAACCATGACTGCCTCTTTAAGCTGCACAGTCACAGAATCATTGAGATGGGAAGGGACCTGTGTGACATTTTGTCCAACATCCCTGCTCAAGCAGGGCCGCCTAGAGCCAGTGGCCTAGGACTACATCCAGATGGCTCTTGTCCCATCACTGGACATCAAGAAAAAGATCCTAGCTTCATCTTGTTTATATCCTCCTTTCTGGTATTTATATGCAATTTACAGAATCTCCCCAAGCCTTCTTTCCTCATGGCTAAGCAGTTCCAGCTCCCTCAGCCTTTCCTTATAAAAGAGACACACTCTGGTCCCTTAATCATCTCAACGGACCTTTGCTGGACTCCTTCCACTGCGTTCAAGTCTCTCCTGTACTGAGGACCCCAGAACTGGATACAGTACTCCACGTGTGGCCTCACCAGCTCCAAGTTTGCAACTAAAGCTGAAGAACACTTACCCTGTCCTCCTCTTGAAGGACCACAACTGTTTCATGGAACAATATCCAAGTCAGTCTCCTATTGTAATGTAGCATTTTGGTTTTATCAGAAATATGCTTGCCTACAGCTAAAGAATAAGCAGGTGGAACCTTAAAACCCAAATAAAAGGTCAGGATTTCTATCAAGGAATATGTAGATGGAACACTGAAAGTCATGGTTCCATGTAAAGCAACCCTGACAATAAACACAGCAAAATAATCATTTAAGTAATTTCTTACTTGTTCTTCCAGCAGTGATGGAAAAACAAAGCACTTATGACACAAATGTTTTCAGAATAAAGCAAGTACATATTAATCAATTCTCATTAAAGCATCAAGTTGACCTTTTCATTTACATTAATATACATGCCCAGGCCTGCCAACATCAGACATCTGACACTTCACCCACAGTATCCTTTTACTTTTATTTGGACCAGAACTGAAATTGACGTTTACCTTTCTCCTGCCTAACTCTGTTTAACAAAGATCTTGGTGTACGCTTCACACAGCTACCCAGGAAAAATATTACTATTCTATTTGGTAGTAGAATACAAAGCCAGCCCCATGTCATCATACCTAAGCAAATTAAAATTTTGGCTTTTCTGCCTAACAATGAAGTCAGCCATCTTGCTGCGAGCTGATCTGTTCTGCACCACTAAAAGGAGAGAACTCCCTAACAAGGTCTCTAATGTGCTTTAGGAAAAATAAATAATCAGAAGCATCATCAGATACTAACAAGTAAAATGCTCTACATGAAGTTTTGCCTCTTGTAAAGAAGCTTCCCCACCTGATTTTTGCTGTCCTTGCTATAAATGACATCACTTTCCAACAAAATGGCTACCACCTAGCACGAGCTTTAAAAAAAGAAACCACTGACTTGATGAAACAAAAACCACATTTCACAGTTCACTCACAGTTAAGACTTCTTTGTACTTCTGAGTTACTGAAACACAGATGGATAGCTTTTCTTCTTGGAGATCTGCATGCAAATCTAGCATAGCTACATACCCAGCCATGCCACAATTTAATTTGGGTGGGGTAAGGCAAAAAGAGGGAATACTATCTTTATCTAAAAAGTTACAGATTCCTTACAAACTGAAAGTTTAAATAAGTGTCACATCAGCATTGACATAAGTTAATTTTTGTCCTCCCTCAAAACTAGAGTTTAGTCACTCTTTGTTCTCCAAACTGCATGGCAAGCCCAGCTGCCAATAGCCTTTGGAGAAGTGCTGTCTTAAGAGTTAACCAGCAAACCAACAGAAAAGTAGTAGATTATACATACATATATAAATATATATCTATTAGAAGTGCCTACTACATCAGCGTCTTCTGAAGAGGAAGGGAGCTGCTCCACCAAGTTCTCAACCAAAGTAGGTATCTCGCATGCTACATGGCAGCAGGAACAATTGATTTAAGAGATTTCACCACCCCTAATCTTCAGTAAGAAAACACAAATAAAGGGTCAGGAGCCTCTTTGGTATTTTCAGAAGTAAAAACGAAGTTTTTGATTAGATAATGTTGCTCACCACAACAACTGGGAAAGAGATGCAAGTAACCGAAAAAAGCATATGGCTTAGCAAGGGACAAGAAGGAAACATGCAGGGGCCTCAAAAGAGGGCAGCTATTGGGAAAGGAGACAGGAGTCTGAATTAGCATTGGTGAGGGAGCACCATAGCTGTAAATCAGACTCTCCAGTCTTTAACAGCAGATTTAGCAAGACATTCAACCAAAGTTAAGAAGCAATATCAAGAAACTGCATTACACCACATTGTAACTGTAAAGAAGTAGGAGCCACCACTGAAAAAAGAAGCAGTTTAAGGCAGAGAGGGTGTGAGGAAACCACGAAGAGCTTCCTTTGGGCTTGCACTGTGCCAGCCTGAAAGCAGAGAGCTGACAAAAAGCAACAGATGTTATGGAGAATCTGTGCTGCCTAGTGGAGGAAATCCTGCAGTCCTGGGCTTACTTCTGAGGCAAACAGGAGCTGAAGTAGGATGCAAGCCAAAAAAATCAGTGGGGAAAACCGCCTCTACAAATCTATATGGAGCCCAACAAAAAAAGCTTGGTGACACCTACAGGAGTATTCCAGACACAAATAGAAACAATTGTTCAGAGAACAATCTTGTTAACAACTTGTTAAGAGTTCTCCAACCTCAGAACCAGATACAGATTGGAAAGTGACCAAAGCAGTTCACCAAGGCAGCCAAATCCATACAGCTCCAAACAAAGAAAAGCCAGGAGTTCAGGGGTGCTTTTTTAAAGCTCAAATATTCCTATGCCACAGTTTTCTGCAGCATGTTGTCATTCACCAGCATAGCAAATGTTCATTTAAACAGATCTTTTGGACATCCTTCGAGCATATAGGCCAGACACAAAATGGAGGAGGCAGTAAACACTGGGGATGTGGGTTACAGGCCACGCAGAGGCTTCAGTGAAGCCACCACACTTAAGAATACAAGCTGCTGAGACACTCATGCACCTCAACATGAACTAGAAGCCCACAGAACAAGCTTCCCAAGTCAGGGCAAAGAGGGCAGCAGGAAAGCAGAGGAAGAGGAAGGCAGAATGGAGTTTCAACCCCATTGAAACAGCAAGGACTTCTAGCATGGAAATTGAAGGGAAAGGAACAGGAGGGGGACAGGTCTGTTTGCCTCACCCTGAAAAGCAGCACCTTGTAACAGTGACATCAATATCAGCTACTAGACTGCAGCCTTAGTTTGCCCGTCAGAAACAATAAGACCTCTAACTCTAGCCATTTTTCACTCACAGGATGCATTAGGCTTAGGTATAGGGTTTTTCTTTGTCATCAGAAAGAGATTCCAGAAATAATAAGCAGGAGAGAGAAGAGCAACTCACATTATTAAGTTGCTCCAATTCTTTTTAAATAGCATTGGTGCTTCTACTACTTTTAATTTTCTAAAGAGTCTGAATGTTGTCCTACCCCAGATGAGGGCCAAGTCAAGATCTCAATCTGGATATAGTTTACATTCTTTTCACATCTGTTTGTCTGAAGATTTGTAAACTGCTTTTGAGGGAGGTTGTTTTGTTTGTTTAAATTGGATTTTTCAAAGGTAACTTAGGCTGGTTAAAGAAACTTTTTGGAGGATATTTTCAAACCTGTTAGGTGGAACATTCTGACAACAGTAAGACCAGATTCTGGAAAAGCGTCTCATGAGACATTAAACCTATTTCCTGAGAGTTTACTTCATCTTCTTTTCACCTGAAAAGATTAGTTAGTTTCATATTAAAAAAACCCAAACTTCTATATTCAATTATCTGCTCTAGAGGGAGGTGGCCATATAATTTGTATCACAATTGCATGGATGACTCTAATCTAGTTAGATTAATTTTGTTTTACACGGAGCCTTGGAAGTGTATCCATCCACAGAAAGCAGCCAGAATTAGCAGGAGAATTGCTAGCAGAATTACAGCAGTGCCAGTCCTCTAAAAATCAAACACAGAATTTATGCAATATTCTGCTGTCACAAACCTGATGATATAGCCACCCTTTCATCACATAAAGGGTAACAGCATCCTAATTAAGAACTCGGGCCTTATGTTCAACAAACTAATGAATTGACCATGAAGATGCCGTAAAGTGGGATGTGACTGATATTTTGCCTTGTGTATAAACTAGTGTCAGTAAACAATTTATTTAATGTAGAAGTCATGTGGTATAGGCTGCACTGGATTTATAGCTACTTGCATTTTAGAATTGTTGTGCCTCAACAAAATAACTGTCTCACTGGCTATCATACAAGCCTGCTATACTGCTGCTGGAACAGTAAACATATTCTCATTAGTGGCCCATGGCAATTTATATCAGAATAGCTTGTGTCACACCACAGACTCAAGAGCTGCTGCTGTGCAGCCAAATGTTAGCTTTTTTTTAACCGGATCTGTAACAATCTGGCTACTTTGTCACAACAAAAAAAAAAAAAACCCAAAAAAAAACCAACTCTCCATGAAGGCATAGATACACAGATACACATTTTACTTATGGTTTACAAAATCAAAGGGGCAAATCACACCAGTATTCTAAGATTAACTTTAAAAACTCCCAAATAAATATTTTGGATGCCTACTGCCTAAATTATCTAAGTTTTAATTTACCTGTCATTCCTGAAGTAACACTGAATGGCTACCGGGCCAGGAACACAGAAATGAAAGTCTTTATCTACTTTCAAAGTTGAAGGTCAATGTATAGAAAACATTTCAAGTTTCTTTCACTGTCTTTATGAAAGAAGGTGGAATTGGGCTCCTGTGAGGTTTTTAACAATACCTTATTATTATGCAATAAACATGCGTAAAAAGCCCTTGCTTAGATCAAGCAGAATGAATATTTTGGTGAAGGAGAAAGCAGTGGTGAAGGACAGGCAGCTCTTCCTTGTCAGAAGTGAGAAATTAGTTTAATATACAGCACAAGAGAAAGACAGAAGGGAAGGAGAGATCCCCTCATTAAATGCTCACCATTTGAGCCCTGCTTAATATGTTGACTGATAACTAGTATACGCAGTTGCAACAAGCAGAGGCCATTCCAAACAATGATGCCCATCTGTTATGGTAGCACTTTAGTCTTAGAACTCCCAGCTGCCACTTCTGGTTACATGTGCCACATTATGCATAGCCTTGCGTACCAAATGAGCATGGTCTGTGCTCCCCGATCATGACTTTTGCAGCTTAAGTATCACCCTGCATGTGCATTAACAGGCTGAAGTCTTAGTGCCACTGCCGGAGCAAGCAGGTGTGTACATGAAGGAAAAAAGGGG